GCTTCCCTGCTAATGTGACGGTGGCTTTCATCTGTCTTTGATCACCTGAACAGTTTTCCGACCATAATGGTAATAACTATAAGCTGAAGCAGCGGTAGTGAAAGCTGTAAAACACCTTTTAAGGAAGCAAAGATAAAATAATTCACTCTCAACACTATAAACCAGCGAGAAATACATTAAAAAAAAACAAACAACTATTAAAAAGGCAAAACAGGGCCAGCCAGATAGCTCAGCAGACTAAAGCGCCTGCTTAGGTAGAGCGCAGGTTCGGGGGTTGAATCCCGGGTGTGTTGTGCCAGCCCTGTCCCTGGGGTGCGCTGAGACAGGACTGAGCCTGGGCATGGTGATGTATCTGTAATTCCAGTGCTTGGGAGGTGAAAACAGGATCACTAAGAGTCTGATCTTTGTAGTGAGACCCTGTCCACCCTGTATTAAAATACATTTAAAAAAAGGGGGGGGGGGAGATGGCTCAGCGGAGTAAGCGCTTCCCTGGCAAGCGCAAGGGCCTGAGTTTAATCCCTGGTTCTGCCAAAAAAAAGCAAACAGGCTGTGTGATGGATTAAATCAAGACTGTTTTGTTTTGTTTTTTTGTGGTACCGGGGATCGAATTCAGGACCTTGCATTTGCCAGGCGGGTGCTTATGCCACCATCGCCCTGGCCCGAGTAAATCACAACTGATGCAGGCATGAGTGGTTTGTGGAAGGTCCCTTCACCACAAAGACAAAGCTGGCCTACTGGGAGGTGGGGCAGCTCCCAGCTGTGACCTCACACTTTCATTCCTACCCCCGCTCCTCCCTTCTCTGCTTCCTGGCCACCATGACAGAAACTGCTTTGCCCCGACCATGCCTTCCTCCCTGGAGCCGGCTGACCATGGTCTGTAACCCTCGACTAAAATTAAACTTCTCCTTGAAGTTGCAAGCATCGATGCTGTGTCCACGTGATGGGGAAAACTGACTAACAGGCTGGTGGTATACTTTTTTAACTACTAGATTAAAAAAAAAAAATCTAATTATACAGCTTTTCTGGAAATTGGTGACATTAAACAAAATTTAGCTAATAATCCATATAAATTAATGGCAACACTAGCAACTACCATCTTTACCTTGACATTATTCTAGGTGTCTTGGGTTTTCATTTCATTCTCAGCCTCCTACTGCCACAGACAGGGCAGAGCCCATGACCACGCAGGGTGGTGACTGGCTCACTGGGCTGTTAGCCCCGTGTATGTTTTTGTCCACACTGCTCAGAGGACGGTATCCTGTGTCACACAGCCTTTGAAGACTATCCGGCATACTGCCTCAGGCATGCTGCCTCGGGCGCCACTGCCCTGCTTACCCTCCTGCTGAGCATAAACCCGTGAACACAAGTGCAGGAAGTGCTTTTTTTCTTTTTTTTATGTATTTGGTATAGGGTCTCACTATGCAGATTGGACTGGTAGTGATCTTCCTGTTTTCAGTCCCCCTAGTGCTGGGATTACAGTGGTGTGCGCCACCACACCTGGTCTCAGTGGACAGCTAAGTGTGCCTGTGGGTGGGGCCAGTGCAGCATGTGGTGTTGGGGATTGAACGCAGGTTCCTGCACTTGCTTTTTTTTTCTTCTTCTGAGACAGTGTTTCATTATGTGGCCCAGGCTGGCCTCGAACTCATGGCTATCCCCCTGCCTCAGTCTCCCAAGTACTGGGATTACAGACATGTGCTACCACGCCCAGCTGGAAGTGACAAGCTGCTAAAAGTATAAATGAGCAATTAGTGTACTAAAATAAGATTCACACTCTGTCCCTTCTATTCTCCCCCTGCACTTGGATGGTCTCCCCTTCCCTACCACCAGCCCCCTATACCAACTGCTATGGACCTGCCTTCACCTGGTACCTCCATCAGCCTCTTCCTCTATAAAGCCCACCTATCCCACCCCCACAGCATCAGTGCTGCTTCCTTCCTAAAATTATCCCACCTCTTCCTACCCAGAACCCGGACACATTAGCAGTTCTCTTTCCTCTTAAATTTCGTGAAAGCCGACTTCTACATTTCATACTTGGTAGGAAGCATCTGAAGAAGGGTACCAGCATCAACCACAGCTCTGGGCCCCGAGTGTGCATTAAACACTTGACTGTCACCATGTGCCACTGTGCTGACTCTCAAAGAGTAACACTTAACTTACCACAGTATCTGAAGATAAATGCTGTCAGCATAGTTGAAAACTGGAGCTGCCAAAGAAGCTGCTACCAAGATTAACTGGACCGCTGTATTCACCTTTAAAGAGAGAAAGAAGTTACAATGGATGGCACCAGCTGGATCTTGTTCAAGCTCTTGGACAAAGGTACAGTCTACCCAACACACCCGGCACATTTGGAGGACAAACGGCATCCCTGCCAGACAGGTCTCATTCACAGGGTTGCCCCATCTCCACAGCTGCCCTCTAGTGACGGTGGTGACAACTACCAGGAAATACACGTGACCACTATTTTGAATTGCCATGAATAATTCAGTAATGCTGCAGTACCTCCCGCCACACACTGCATGGTGCTGGGGCTGAATCTAATTTTTATTGATGAGCTAGAAGCCAGGCCCCCTTTCATTTCATACTGAGAAAGAGAGAGTGCTGCTATACTGCCTGGGTTGGCCTCAAACTTAGGATCCTCCTGCTTCAGCCTCCTGAGTGGCTTGGATTACAAGGGTGCACCACCACATTTGGCTTCTTTCCTCTATTTTTTCTAGTGGCCCATTAAAGCAGCCTTGTGAATATGAGGTGGCTCTTCCTAGGTGAGATGATGTAGGTGACTGGTCTGCAGTCACAGCAGACTACAGAACCAAACCTACAGCCCATACTTTCTGGTGTTTTTCCCTCACGGCTGCCAAGCCCTGTGAGACCAGAACACTGAACTGCACTCCTCTCCACAGGAGAGCCTGGGGGAAATACGGAGGTCTCCCTGCCCTAAGAGACAGTGCCGGGAGACAGGACTGACGTGGCACTTGTGCAGGGTGGGGACTCGCACTAGGGGTCCTCATGGGTGCACAGCAGCACTGGGCTTCTATCACCTGGCTGCACCCCAATGACAGGAATCCCATTTTGTTTCTGGAAGTAAATCACACAGCCGAGTGTGGTGGTTATAATCCCAGCACTGGGGAGGCTGAGGCAGGAGGTCTGCCATAGGCCAACCTGGAGTACATAGCACTGAGCTATACAACGAAATCCTGTGTCCACAAACCAAGAGAAAGTGGAAAATGACACAATTTATGAGAACAAAGGTGTCTGATGCATCTGACCCTCCACAAGCCACCTTCTCTAGTGCTACAAACTGCTGTACTTGACACAAACAGGAGCCTGAAGGTCAAGCACGTTTTACACATGTGGAAGAAATCACCCTCAGGAGTCTCTGTATAAAGGCAGTGGCTCTTCTGTCCCTAAGATGACCATGCCCCCAACCTGCTAAATTTCTGCCCCAAGGGATAGGACTCTGAGGTGACCTGAACAAGCTTATGAAGACTACTGAAAAAACAAAGACTGGCACCTTGGCTTGTCAATTACATGAAGCTTCCCCAGAAGGCCAACATTGGACCTAACCACTGAATCTGATTCGGTTCAAATCATGGGAAAGAATCAGGTTTGTGAAGGAAAGCCCCAGTGCACGCCTCAGCAGGCACTACCAGCACGTTCTGTGTGTGTTCAGAAACTGACACAGTCACTGTCCTGACCAAGACTCAGGAAAACAGAACGGATAACCAAGAGCGGCAGCTGGTTAGTGAGGAAGCCCTTTCCACTGAGGGCTTTCCACATTCAATCTTAAAAGTGAAAGGCCTTGAACATGGTGTTTTCAGGCCAGGGCAGGAGGCAATAAAACCAGATGCTTCCTACTCGGTGAGCTTTAATCAAGAAGCAATTACATTCAGCCTCCTTCTGGTTCTCAACCTGTTACAGCGTCAGGGCTTCAGCCTGCAGACCAACGCAAGGCAATCCAGGTCTGCTGCGTCCTCTGAGCGGGTGACAACATGCAATTACATTTTCTGCCCTGCCCCACTCGAAAGCCCCAGTAGTCAATGCATTAATCAGTGCACTTTCAGCTGCTGCTGACTGAAGTTCAAATTCATTATAATAAAAATCCACCTAGAATAACTTAAAATATACTACATGTCTCTTACCTTGCTGATGAATGTTGGTTTTAACCTAGCAGTAGCGTAGCAAGGATTGAAATATTTAGCTAGTGTTCGCTGGCAGAAGGAAAAAAAAAAGATGGTTTCAATTTATTGCTTAAATTTCAATCAAATACCTTGTTATTACATGTAGGTAACAGGTCCTGGGTGCTTAGCACATGCCTGGCCTCATGCTAGAAAGGTCTTTCCATGCATCCTGTGATGTGAAGTAAGTGCAGTCTACAGTCTTCATAAATCATGAGGTTACTGAAAATTATTCTTTAAAATGTATAATTTTTCTAAAGCTCTATTTTTTTTTTAATGTATTTGGTACAAGGTCTCACTACGCAGCTCAGACCACAGTGGTCCTCTTGTTTTCAGTCTTTCCAGAGCTGGGATTACAGGCATGGGGAGCATGTCCAGTCGGTGGCCTGGCTCGGAGCGCCTGGGGCAGGGCTGCCATGGCTTGTGGTGTTGGGGCTTTGGTCCCTGCTCTTGCTAGGCAGGCGCTTAGTCTGCTGAGCTATCTCCCTGGCCCAAAATTCTAATGCAACAGCTATTGTAAGGTTGGCTTGATCACAGTATTTTTTTTTCCTTTAGTTTTTTTTCTTGCCACAACTTTATTCAGAAAAACAAATCTAGATCCCAGTATATTTTGCTTTTGTGAGACAGGGTCTCATTACCAGAAGGTAGCCCAAGGCTGCCCCCAAATTTGCAGTCCAACCTCAACCTCCCAAATGCTGGGATTATAGGTGCGTCCCACCACAGGTAGAGGATGCCAAGCTCTTTATTTTCTTTTATGTTAAACCAAAATGAAAAATACTGCTCTATTTTCAGTGGACTAGAATCAAAAAGCTTATTATGCAACAGACCAATGAAATATAAGCAAATCAACCAGTTATATATAATCTGTAGTAAAGGCTAAGACAACAAGGTCTGGAGTCCTGCTAGGGGTGAAGCCCAGCAGGGCTGGGTATCATGTGTCATCCGCAGAGGGGCTTAAAACATAAATACACCACCATGCATGGTGGTTTACTAAATAACTGAGAATGTAAAAAAATTTTTAAGGGGCTGGTGAGATGGCTCAGTGGTCTAAAGCACCTACTTGGAACAAGCTTGGCAAAGCACAGGGACCATGGTTCAATCCCCCAGCACCACATGCCAGCCAGCCCTGCCCCCTGGTGGGCTGAGCTGGCCACACACACACACACACACACACACACACACACACGCAATAAATAAATAAATAAATAAATGTTTTTAAAAAAAATTTTTAAATTTGCATTAAAAAAATCATTTATTTATTTGGTACAGGGTCTCACTACGCAGCTCAGATTCATAGTGATCTTCCTGTCTCAGCCTCCCCAGCGCTGAGATTATAGGCATGTATCACCATGCCTGGTTTCAGTGGCTGGCTTGGCAGGAGGCCAGCATAGCATGTAGTACCAGGGATTGAACCCGGGTCCTTGCACTTGCCAGGCAGGCGCTTAGACCACTGAGTTATCTCCCCAGCCCCTGAGAATGTAATTCAAATAGAAGGGCAGTTAACTTTTAAATTTTGATGAGTTAAAAAAAAAACAACCTGCCATAAGTTAGTCCCCAAAAGTAAAACAGTACATAACAGAAAATATTTATTTTTCCTTAGCTATACAAATTAAAAGAGTATGTTTTTGAAATAAACTCACCGGTGTTGGGAGGGTTCGGTATCTGACATAAAAAACAGCAGCAATCAACATTACATCTCTTGAAATTATCATATAAGTAAGTGGAACTGAAAATCAAATACAAAATAACTTTACTGAGGATTCTGAAGATTACTAACATACACTATGACTTCAGAAAGTCTCGTTTCCCCTCGTTTAGCTTTACCATAAACTGATGCTTCCCAGAAGTGACAATCTCATCGTGATAGTCAGGGTCCTTAAGGTGAAGCACTGGTCTTTACACTGTTTTTAAGGAAACTGAAGCATCCAGCCTGGGGAAATAGCTCAGTGGCCTAAGTGCCCGGCCTGGCAAGCACACGGTCCCAAGTTCTAGTCCCAGTGCCAAAAAAGAAAAGAAAACGATGCATCTGACCAGGGCTTTGGGGGTCTTCTCGCCTCTTTCACTTGTTTTTCCTGCACACACTCTGAAATATTTAGAAGCTATTATTATAAGTTATACACTATCAATCTGCAAATACTGATGTCTGCTCTCCATGGTCCTTCCCACCCTTTTCTCCCTTTTTACTCCCACAGCTTTATGAATTTGGAAAAATCACCTTGCTCTTAGGATTAAATGAAAGGAAATAAGGCTTGGAAGACTTAAAGTTTTCTGAAGTCTCCTGTGGTTTGTTTCTACATTTTAGCCTTTTCTGAAGAGTAAATTTTACTATATGTAGAACTGGTAGAGAAAGAAAAATCATCACCATCATCTTCTTTTTTTTTTTTTTTTTGCAGTACCAGGGATCAAACTCAGGACCTTCCATTTGCCAGGCAGATGCTTATGCTACTGAGCTATCTCTCAGGCCTTAAAAAAGAGAAATATTTTCTCATCCAGCCAGTTCCTACCTAGGCAACTCCTGTTTTTCTCCCTGCCAAGGCAATCAATGAACCCAATTTGTCAACAGCCTTCTTATTATGGGCTGAATACACCCTATGCAAAGTACCTGGACAAGAAGTTTTCAAATTTCAGCATTTTTTCATTTTTGAAATATCTGCATAGACTTTACCCATTAAGCACCTCTAATCCAAAAATCCAGTATCAAAAATCCAACTTTATTTTTTTTTTTTGGAGACAGGGTCTTGCTCTGTAATTCAGGTTGGCCTTGAACTCACTGCAATCCTCCTGTCTCAGCCAGCCAAGTGGCATGTGCCACTATGCCTAGCTAAAATCTCAAGCTTTCAGAACCTACTAACACTAGGGACGCTCAGCCTACACTCCAGACTTTCACAGTCTGCACTGCAGCCACAGGACCTGCTCCCAGCTGAGCCGGGCAGGCATGGCACAGACCTCTTCTTTTGGCCTGTCTGCGTGCGTGTGCTACAGAAGCTTTAACTATGAGCCTACACCTTTGTTTAAAAGAAACCTGAAAGTGAGGGGAAAATCCCCTGTTCAAATGAGTTCACTCAGTTCAAATTGTTACAATTGCTAAAACAAAAGCAGCACATCCACGTCTTCCATAATACTGTCACACAACTCTTTCACGAGTCCCTGGAGGCTGCACTTGTTGTCCTCTCTGCTGACATTACATGGACTCTGCAGTGTGAGCCTGAAGCTCACCCTTCAACCTTCCAATCACTGCCACCATAGCTGTGATAGTAAGTGCTGATGCTAGCTAAGCCCTCTGCTTGTGCACCTGAGTGACAACAGTTGGAGTTAAAAGACAAGACTGTATCAGCCAAGCTAGAAAACTGCAACCCCTGATTTTGAAAAGCATTTTCTAACCTACAAAACAAACTTTTTAGCAATCACCAGCTGGTGAAAGCTAACAGCAATTATACATTAAAAAGCAACAAAATCATGAGAACTGAAGTCCGTGTATGGTGACCATACAGCATGGGGTCTCTCTGCAGGAATGGAGGCCTATGGGACTCGGACTGGGCTGGGACAGTGCTCCAGGCTCCAGCACAGCCCCATGAACTAGCCTTCAGCATTTCTGCACTCATGTGACCACCTGTAACTTCCCAGGGGGTCACTTCATAATCAAACATTCAATTCACTGGGAGGATACAATTTCTATGCACTTAATGGTATGACTCCAAGAGAAAAAGCAAATATTACTGACTGTGGAAAACTAAACACATGGGAACATTAACACAGTCTCCCCACAGCTGACAGAACCAGCAGCTTAAAAGGGAGAAAGTCAGTAAAGATACACACAGAATTAGAAGCTTGACCTGACAGACACACAGAACATCACAACCAAGCACTGCATGATACACAAGCACCTGAGGCACAGCTGGAATGTTTATAAAATTCTGATTTCCCAGGCCAAAAGACTAAAATCACAGGGCATGTTCTTTCAGTATATGACAACTAGAAAAAAATATGGTTATTAGGCTTGAAATCACTAACAGAAAGATACCTAGGAAATCTCCCTACACTGACAACAAATTAAGAAATGGGAATGGGAATTGAGTCTGGGGTACTGTACTAAGCTACACGCCCCGCCCCCCCCCCCGTTCCTCACTTATTCTATTCTCTCCTATTCACTCTCTATTCTTTATTCTATTCTACTCTGTACTCTCTTTTCTACACTCCATGCCACGCCACTCCACCCCATTCCATTCTATTCCACTCTATTTTTAGGCAGTGTCTTGCCAAGTCATTCTGTTGTCTGGGTTATGCTTGAACTTTTGATCCCCCTGCCTCAGCCTCCCAGAGTTCTGGGGTTACAGGTATGTGGTGTATCACTTCAGCTAACTTATTATCATTCTGTGGTGCTATTGATCAAACCCAGGGCCTTCAGCTAGACAAGCTCTCTTCCGATGAGCTACCCCAGTTCTGGGGTTACAGGTATGTGGTGCATCACTTCAGCTAACTAATTATCATTCTGTGGTGCTATTGATCAAACCCAGGGCCTTCAGCTAGACAAGCTCTCTTCCGATGAGCTACCCCCCCAGGATAAGAAATATTTATTATTAACCAGATATGTTGGAGGAAAACGGGCTAGAAAAATATACTGGACAATTGACCAAAGCACTAAGATCAACACACAGGGAGTGTAAGGCTGAGCTCAGAGGACAAAAATAGGTGTCCACGCAAACCTTAGACAGCTGAGAGGCGCCAGCTAAGACAGCAGCCAGAACAGCTGCAGCACTACAGGAGCTGCATGCAGCTGCTGGGTGGGCAGCTAACATGCAGCCGGTCAGAACTGGGAGGTACAGCAAGTGCCAGGCAAGCTCTGGCATTCAAAGCCATAGTATTTCTTTTTTCTTTTTTTGTGGTACCAGGGATTGAACTCAGGACCCTGCACCTGCCAGGCAAGCACTTATTATACTGAGCCATCACCCTGGCCTTTTTCATTCATATATATATATATATATATATATATACACATTAGTATTTCTTATTTTTAATTACATACATGGCTGTTTATTTCTACTAGACAAAACTGATCAAAAGAATCTCAATCCATATGCAGTGGCACAGGCCTATAATCCCAGCCACTGGAGAGGCTGAGGCAGAAGGGTCACGTTCAATGCCAGCCTCGACTCTACAGTGAGACTGTCTCAAAACACCGAAAGGGCTAAAGACGTAATTAAGGGATAGAGCACCCTAGATTCAGTCTCCAGTCACACACACACACCAAAGAAAGAGAAGTAAAAACTTAATAAATTATAAAGTTTATGTCATTTTTTTTTTTTTCCAGAACTGGGGATTCAACTCAGGCCCGGCCCCAATGATGTCATTTTTATCATACAAATGAAAGGGCCAAATTCCTAAAACAAATCACAAATTACAAAATGGTCAAAAGATGAGCCTGAGTTATCTAGTAACAAAGAAAAATGAATCAACCTAGAAAAATATACTGGACAACTGACCAAAATCTCTGTCAAAACTGAAAATAACTACAATCTCAAACACCTCCCAAGACTGAAAGAATAAACAAAATCCCAAGCAATCCCTCCCTAATTTGTTTTACGAGGACAGTTTTCACCTGAACAAGGGAGTGGAGCAGCACCCAATGGCCTTGCCCAAGTAAACTGTGTCCTATAAACTGGGACGCCACAATCCTTGGGAAATCCTAGGGTGTAACCTACACGCCCACCCTGAAGCTACCATAAACTAGAAGGATATTTGGTGAATTCTAAGCCAATCTTGTGAATCTGGATATAAAATTTTCTATGAAATACAACTGAATCAAGTCCAGTAATATCTTTATACTACACTGTGGCAAGTTGGATTTATTACTAGGAATGTAGGTTATTTGAATACTTGAAAATCAGTAATGCCAAAGAAAAAAGAAAAAGAAAATCATTAATTCAATTTACACATTAACAGCTGAAAGGAAAAAAAAAACTGATTTACTCATGATAACATTCAAAACAGTATTTAATATCTGGTTGCAAAAATCTCAGACAAGAGGGATGGAGTAGAGAAGGAGGGAGAGCAGAGAAAGGGAACTTAAGAATTAAGACTACCCAGAAGATCCCCATAAGGAATGAATTGCTGTACACTGCAGACGTGTAGTAAAAAAAAAAAAAAAAAGGTAAAAATCCTCTGACCCAACTCCCAGCTGAAGAACTGTACAAAACCCATACACAATGCTAAGCATGGTACACACGACTATTGCCCTAGCACTTGGAGGGGAGGCCAGCCTGAGCTACAGAGTGAGTTCAAGGCCAGCTCAAACTACAGAGCAGGACCCTGTCATAAAAGTAAAAACACTATAGGAACCTCTTCAATCATGAAAGGTTAAAAGCTTTCTCTGTGAGACTGGGAAAAAGACAGAGGCCACTGTATCATACAGTGTAAGACAGCAATAAATACATTATAATATAGTGTGAGACAGTGATATAACAAAAGGCAGGAGGATCAGAAAAGTACAGTACAGTTCATAACTGAGGATGCTGAAAATTCGACAGAATTTATATTTGAGCAAGTTTTGCTAGCCACATAAATCAACATTATAAAAATGACATTATAAAATAAAAATTTAAAAACCACCAATTATAGGAGTAACAAGACCTACGAACTACATAAGAATAAATCTGTCAAAAGAAATGTATTACCTCTCCAGAGAAAATTATGCAACTCTGAGACACAAAGACCTGTGGTTTGGAAGGCTTATTGTAAAAAGGTTACTTCTTCTAAATAGTCTTCAAAGTCAATGCAATCCCAGTCCAAATCACACAGGCACACACATAGTGTTTTTCTACAGAACTGCTGATTCTGGGGAAAGCAAACTGTTACTTCTAGAACTTACAATTGGAAAAGGCTAAGAATATCCAAGGTAGAATTTGTTCTTAACATATATTAAGACTTTTAGCCAAGTAATATTAAAAGTGGTTGCTGGTACAAAGAAACGTGTGGCGGGGAGACTCAACCATCACAAAGAATTTTAAAATAAAAGGTGTTGGAATAATTGGGTATCCATGTAAGCAACTAGAAAGTAGTTTTCTAGAAAAAAAAATAGAATCAACTAAGACAAAAATCCACAAAGATTTCCAATATAAAACACAATTACATATAAAGAATCAGAACTGCATGAGACCTCAAGACAGAGTCTGGAAGGCTGTAGAAGAGAATCTTCTACATTCTGAGAGAAAACGATCCACAGGTGAAAACTACACCCAGGTCACGTCAATCATGTGGAGAATAAAATATTTATTTTACAATACATTTTATTTTATTCTGCTGTTTCTGTTGCTCAGGGTGCAGTAATCAGGCTCAGGGTCCTGTGCCCCTCAGGCAAGCGCTCTACCGCCGAACCACACCCCAGGCCCTTGACAGCTCAGATGCTCGGACCACCTCAACATCTGTTGCCACACCACGCCCTTCTAAAGAAAACTGGGGAAAAGACAAAAGCAAAACACCCAAAAGAAAACAGAATTAAAAACCTCAGGAGGAGCACTTAGCGGAAAGGAAAGCATGGGAGTGTGGAAAAAGAGATCAAACACAGATGACAGTGAACAGAAAGTACAACATACCAAAAACCTAGAAATAATGAGACAACACAGTGAATAAAAGTGTAGCTAACAGATTAGAGGGGTGAAGACATACACACTTACAAAACACTGAATTTTGAATGTCAAAAGAATGTTCTGTAGGTTTTCTCTAAAAATAATTTATAAGCAGAATGACAGTATCAACCCCCAATCGTGTGTGTGTATTGTTTCTGTCTTTCAGATCAGCACATAAAATGTGGTTTGAAAACTCAAGAGGACTAAAGGTAGGGGAGAGAGACCCTCAAGTCTGAAGAGAGAGACCACACCAGACTGCCACAGCCCTGTGCTCTTCCTACCAAATGTCAACAGTGACACCCAAGGGCCACAAGGCAGTTCCTGCTTCTCAGGTCCTTTTTGTAACCTTTTGGTTTTCCTTCAGTGCTAAGGATGGTACCCATGTTAAGCAGGTGCTCTACCACCGAGCTACATCAGCAACCCTTTTTATATTTTATTTGAAGACAGCATCTAGCTAGGCTGTCAGGTTAACCTAGAACTTGGGATGTTACTGCCTCAGCCTTCCAAGCAGCTAGGATTAAGTGCACCATGGCTAGCACTTTCTCTAAACTCTTGGAGGAAGTTAATCTTTCTGAGGAGAAAAAACTGATTGAGAAACAGGTGAAGCAAAAAACAAAGACCAGTAAAACACATGCAGAACACAAATCAAAATATCCTAAAATGTTAAAAAAAGTAAACATACACATTATATATATGATTTGCAAATTGTGCAACAGTGTAGTAATAATGATGAGAAATTTTATAGGTGGCTTCAGGATTTCAGAGTTTTATGATTAAATTGTATTTAATAAAGAAAACAGATACTTAGACTACAGTGTTTTCAAAATGCTGAGCACTAAAAATTATATAAAATAGCACCAAAAGATTCCAGAATAACATGAATTGGAACTGTGAAATATTTCAATTTAAACAATCTTAATCAGAAAACTGCTTCTCCAAGTTGTAACGAAGACACAAATTTTAAAATAAGCAAATAGTTCAACAGGTTAAAATTAGAAAAAACAGTTCCTCAGCTGACCCATGTCGCTGTCCCTATGCTATTCGAAATCACGCGTGGTGGCGGTCTTACCTGGAATAAGATCTGCATAGGTCAAGCTAACATATAACACACTGATAAGTATTTTATCAGCAAGTGGATCAAGAGCACTTCCCAAAGCTGATTTTTGATTGGCCCAGTTTCGAGCAATAAATCCATCCAACTGAAAATAGAAGTGTTTTTTAATAAACGTCATGATAGGCACAAAGTAGATATCGTGAAGTTTTTATACAACACTCTGTTTCTTTCCCCCTTTTGCTGAGCCAAACTTAAAGTCTTTTTTTTTTTTTTTTTTTTTTTTTTTTTTTTTTTTTTTTTTTTTTTTTTTTTTTTTTTTTGCAGAAATGGGGATTGAACTCAGGCCCTTGCATTTGCCAGGTAAACACTTATTTTACTGAGCCATCTCCCTGGCCTCTTTCCCCCTTTTCATTCCTTTGTGATGCATTTAGCTTTTAAATTCACAACTGTTCAGAAAAGTTTCACCTTACTTTTTCTTTTTGCCCAAGGCCTTCTATTCTTTTCTTACCCTTTTCCCGTGTCCCCTAATGTGAAGAACCAAGACACAAATTCAGACATAAGGTACCCATAAAAAACCCAGAAAGTGTGCCGGACAGGGCTGGCCCACTCTAACTACAGCCAGGACAGCTGCTTTTGCTCGCAAGGGTGACCATACAGAGAGCGCCGAGCTTCCATTATCTCTTTCCAGTAGCTGACCCAACAGTAATTCTATGTTCTAACTGTGTTTGCACTACTTGTACTTGGATTAAAAAAAAAAAAAAAAAAAAAATTCTCTGCATCTGCCCTAGTTAAAATGTTACTAATTACTTGCTTTCATTTCTTATTACTGAAACAAATTATACTTAAAAGCAGAGGTCACAGCTAGCTGCTAGTGGCCAAAGGGGCTACAGCCTGGTTTTATTTGGTCTCCCAGAGCTTGTAAAAATAATAACTAGTTGCCAACATTCGTGTAATAACATGTCCCATAAAAATCCAGGTCTCCTGCTAACCAAAAGGGAAAGAGCCAGTCACGCTGGGGCCACAAGAGGGACTGAACCCCAGAACTGACTGTTCCCACCAGACTGCGGACAAATCTGACTTATCACAGCCCCCACCCGGCTTTTATGCATTTTATTTAAATTGATGCTTTCGACATATGTCTGCATTTTCTATTCCCATTTCTAAGAAAACAGAGACACAATTACACATGGTCTATTTTGCAGGCCAAGTCCCCCAGCTCTCTAGTTTTCCAGGGTATTAAAGGAAGCAACAGCGGCACAGGACAGGGGTTAAGAAGCTGGGACTTCTAGCAGCATAAACCCGGTTCCAGCCCTGCGGTCCCTTACTAGCTCTGTAAACTAGGCAAGCTCTGGCCTCTTACAGCCTGAGTTTTCTCATTCTACTGCAACAAGAAGACTTTACCCTCTTCTTCTCTCCCTTGTTTGTTGAGAAAGGGTCTCACCATGTAGTCCAGGTTGGTTCTAAACTCACGGCAATCCTCCTGCCTCAGCCTCCCAAGTGTTGGGACTACAAGCATGTGCCACCACACCTGGCTCTATTTTCTTCTTCAGTAGACTAGACCAAATATTGTTTAACAGAAAGTGCCTAGAATGGGCAGCCTGAGACTTGGAAGGCCCAGCTTTCAGTACAGTTTCTGGTGAAAGGGAACGTAACCCCCCACTTTCCGCCATCACCGCCCTGTCCTCACTGCTCCGGGAGGTATCCCCATTCCCTGCAAACACCCACTGTGCGTAGCCGCCCTTCCTTCCTCCCCCACAACCTGACTCTCCTGCATGTCAGGCCCGCTCACAAACCACATGAATGAGGCAGCTGACCGGGCTCACTTCCCATTTGTGCCCATGAATCTCGCGTGGACACTCAGTACTCCTGGCAGCCCCATGGCTGCCTGCTGGACCTGCCTTCTCTTCTCACCCCTGCCTCATTCCTCCTAGCCCCACTCATTCTAGCCCCCGACCAAATCTGCAGTTCCCTTGAGGGAAGAAAAAGATCGTCAGCATCAGCACTTCCATGTCACCAGCCAGCGGTGTCTGTGCAACCTCGCTGCCACCTCTGGTCGCTCCTCCAAAACCTTCACCTGCTGTGATATGCACCCCACCCCTCATTTCTCCTGCACATTCTTCACTCTCTCCCTTCCTTTTTTTTTTTGTGGTACTAGCAATTGAACTCACCTTGCCAGGCAGGTGCTTATTCTACTGAGTTATCTCTCTGGCCCTCCCTTCCTACCCTTTTTAATCAGCTGCACTGCCCCTAAAAGACTCAGTACTCCTATGGGTTGGTCTCTCTGCCCTCTCCTTTCTCTTCTACTTCAGGCTAGACACTTCACCCAGCCTTGTCCATGTCTGCACCCCCCAGTCTGTTGCTCTGCAATGAGGACTCCCTCCAATAACACACTGTTGCACTCAAGTATCTGTTTGATGCCTCTACGTAGCAGACATCAGAAATTCTGCTATTTCCTCTAAACTCTGTCTCACTCCAAGTACTGCCCATCATGACCTCCAGGCACCTGGCTTCTGGAAAGACAAAGAAAAAGGAAGTAACAGGCCTGAAGCTGAGTGAGGTGGCACAGGCCTGTAATCCCAGCACTCAGGAGGCTAAGGCAGGAGGACTGCCATGAATTCCAGGCCAGCCTGAGCTTATATAAGCAAGTTCCAAGCCAGCCTGCACTACCACACCCATCTGTTCCAACTCCATACTTCACCAGACACAAGCTTCCTGCAGCTCTCGACCAGGTAAGCTTCCTCACTAGCTGCACTGCCTCTAAACTTAACTCCTGTTGGCCCACACAGCACTGTCCCACACAGTACAAATCACACCCTGCAAGGGGGCCACCTGCGCAATAGCTAATTTGGTTTTTTGTGTTTTATTGTTGTCTTTTTGAGACAGAGTTTTACTACACAGTGCAGGGTGGTCTTGAACTCGCTTTGTAGTCCAGGCTGGCCTCAAACTCACAGTGATTCTCCTGCCTCAGCCTTCCGAGTACTAGGATTACAGGAGTGCACCACCATACCTGGCCTCAGCAGCCAATCTGGAGGCATCAAAACCTCCATGGAATAAATATGGAGGCAATTCAAGTTTTCATACAATCATCTTAAACCTTTAGAAAATCTGTTAAAGGGCTGTCCAGTTCAGAGAACACTGCCATCATATGATGTGGAAGCTAAATGCCCCCCAAAACAAACTAGCAGATAAAAAGAAAAAGGTAAATTCAGTAGCTAAAAAAGCTCAGCTGTTAGGGGATATTTTATTATCGGCATAGCAGCCTTCCAAAGCTTGGAGGCCACACTAGTCATCAGTGGAATTCTTTGGGCTTCAGAAATAACAGCAGCACAGATGAAAGGGACCGGGGTGGCAGCCGGGCAGAGATGATGGCGCCCTCTGGAGAGAGCGAGGGCTAATCTGAGAGGCTGTACTTGCTGCACAATCTGAGGTGCCATGAAATACAGCACACGTTCTTCTTTTTTTCCCTCCAAACCCTTGAGTTAATTCTCTATTGCTCAAAATGCTACAGACTTCAAAACCAGTAGCTGGCATTACAAAAATGCCAAAGCACTTTCATTTGTACAGAATCAAGTTTCTCAGACTAGGGAGATAGCTCAGTGGCATAATAAGTGCCTGCCTGGCAAGTGGGAGGTCCTGAATTCAATCCCCAGTCAAAAAAAAAAAAAAAAGAAATTAGTTTCTCTCTATTTTCACTAAACAAACATGGAGCAAAGCTTTTCCAACATACATTGCTTTTAAGAGGCACAAAGTTATTGCTGGCCCAGGTGCTCACATGGGTCTCAGCCCGGAGTAAGAAGATACGTACATGTGTCTCTCTCCACAGTCCAACGCTGCCCTGATTTGAAATGTTTCCTCTACCTTTTCCCCACTTCTCAAGTGCTCATGTAAGGCATGCACTTTCAGCAGCCATTCCAAATCCTTTTACAAACCAAGTAGATGGTACAACAGAAATAATGCCATGCATGATGACAGCAGGTCCGTCCACAAAAGTGATGTAGCTGTCTGCTATAAAATCACTTTCCCAACATATAAATAGCCCTGCCCTCTCCTTGGAGTGGACAACTGTGGCTCAGGAGGAAGAAGGGATCCACCGTCCATCCCCCACCAAGGGTTTTGCGCAGGCAGGCAGAAGGGTACGAGAGAACTGGGGACCAGATCTGTGGGGCACCTCCTGCAGTACCAAGCTGGGCACAGCGGTGGTCTCCACTAGCTCCCACCCAACCTAGTTCCGTTTCCTCTGCCTCTAGGAAAACCAGCTTCTTGCAAGTCACAGTATTTTTACCACAACAAGCAGAAAAAGTCTCGTAGCTTCCATTATTTTTATCTCTAAAGTAAGTACTCAGGTATTGGGAATTTCTTTTTCTTGGCGGAACTAGGAATTGAACTCAGGCCTTACACTTGCCAGGGAAGCGCTTATTACACTGAGCCCTCTCCTCAGCCCAGTACTGGGAATTTCGAAGGGTATTTTGTTTATGAAGAAGTTAAAAATCAAGAGTGAAAAATCATCCCCGCCACATACAACCCTCACTTCTTCTCTTAGATTGTATAAAGAACAGTCCCACACAGATGCTGCCAAAGACAAGTCCTCACACCAAATACTACATCAAATTCATCCTGAGGATTTCTTCCAGAGAAATGCTGACTAAGGCTGTACTACTTATTGCAGGGCATAGTAGGGATCCTGTGATTTGAAAGGAAGAAAAACAAGAATACATTTACTACTTACCAAATCAGTGAGTCCAGCTAGAGCAAAAACTCCTAGTGCAACATTAAAATCTTCTTCAATAATCAAATAGCCCAAAACTGGGGCCAAGCCAATCCTTGTCATTGACAACATATTTGGAATTGTCCATGGATTTTCATACTGAAATGTAAAGAAAATAAAATTTATTTATTTTATTTATTTAATTAATCAACTTATTTTTTATGTATTTGGTACAGGGTTTCACTACAGTTTGGAATCGTAGTGACCCTCCTGTTTTCAGCCTCCCCAGCACTGGGATTACAGGCATGCGTGACCATACCCAGACTCAGTGGCCTGCTCAGTGCGCCGGGGCTGGCAGAGCATGCAGTGCCAGTGCTGGTCCCTTTGCTTGCCTAAGCAGGCACTTAGTCCGCTGAGCTATCTCGCTGGTCTGAAAAGAACACTTAAATCAATGTAAAGTCATATTAAGCCTTTAGTACAGACTTTGTTAAATTTTTTTGGTGGTACCAGGGATTGAACTCGGAACCCTGCACTTGCCAGGCAAACCCATATTCCACTGAGCTATCTCCTCTGCTCAACATTCTTTTAAAAATGCTACTTCTGCTAAGCGTGATGGCACATGCTTATAATCTGGAGCACTTGGGAGGCTGAAGCAGGACAAGAGTTTGAGGCCAGTCTGGACCTCAGTGAGTTCAAGGTCAGCCTGAACTGCATAGCGAATCCTTATCTCAAAACACACACAAAAACTTGGCGAGTCTAAGGCTGAGTTCAATTCCCAGTACAAAACACACAGAAATGAAACTTCTGAACAGATCTAGATAAGAATCTAGAAAATGTCAAAAAAAAAAAAAGGGCCAAATTATCAACCTCCCTTTGGCTTGCAACATTTATTGCCGACAACTTCTCTCCCTCCCCTACACATACCCATGAAAATAAAAAGAATCTATGCAAGTTAAGACTGAGAAGGGGAAACTGGCTTAATTCTGTAACCTCATTGCTAAGTCAGAGAACTGCTGGAAGAAAATGAAGATGGGGATAGAAACGTGAGTACTGAACATAAGGCTAAATTCAGTAAATCTGTTCAAAACAGCCATGGAAATATCAAGACACCCAAACTGCAGACTGCCACAGCTGGCATATGGGGGCTCTGATTCCTCAAACTTCGTCTAGAGCCAAGTTGTGAAGAGGCTGGAACTCACAGGGCTCACTCAGAGCTGAAGACCGTGCCTCTCCCCAAACCGCATCTGATTGCGGGAGGGTGACTGCAACTTCAGAAAGCCTCATCCTAGCGATGCTACAACAGCGGCACAGCAGGGCACAGAGACGGCAGCAAGTAGGCGTCTCCCCCTAAAACTTGGACTGTTTTCCTCCATGGCAAATTCCACCCCGTGGGACTTTCCCTTCAAAGAACTAAACCTACTTAATATCTCTTTAAATTAGTAACCAACTTGCCTGAACCTTCAATTAATAACCATTTAGGAAAGAAAGTGGCAGAGTTCATTTCTAAAGACATAAAGTTCCAAGAGGCATTCTGTAAGAAAAAGAATTCTCTAAAAATACTAAGTTTGTGTTTATAAATAGAAGCCAGAAAGACAGCACCTGAATTCAGGGGTATAAGGCACGGTGGCTGCTGGAGGTGGCGGATACTGCCGCCCTAAGCGCTAGACCTACTTAAAACTTTTCCTTCCAAAGCAGCAATACAAACCTCTATCCTGGGACCTTTCACTAAAAGTAGACCCACTAGAATACACTTCAATTCAAATTCAAAGTTCAGAGTGTCTCAGAGTCCAGAGGGGAAAAAAGATAAGTCTGTTTACTACACCGAAGTAGGAAGAAAGTCAAATACAGTATTGACCCAGTCTTGTAGCACCTCACAGGAGTGGGGTAAGCGAAAAGCAGTTCAGATACAAAGCAAAAGATCAAGAGGAAGAGCCACCGAGGTTGCCAACAGTCACACTGTTCCACCTCAATAAACAGAACTGAGCACTGCTGAACAGTGAAAGTTCTGAGGGCCATAAAAAAGATTTCAGTTGAAATATGGCATTCAGTTTTAGCTATTAAATTTGTAAACGTTTCAAAGTTAACATTAGGAGAGCTAATCGATCAGATTACCCAACCAGATAACCTGTGGCATACTCGACCAACTACTGCGGCTCCGGCAAGGACTTGGGCCAGAATGAGGGCAGCTTCAACGCGCCCAGCAACCAAACCCCAACATGCTCTAGCTGCTGGTGGAGCTGAGACCCCTGCCAGGAAGAGGCCCCCTCAGCCCATGCTGTCCCGCTGCAGCGGGCAGGGCAGGGGCCCACTGCACACCTAACAATTGAAGATGTAACAATTGCTCCCTGTGCTACCATGGCATCAAAAACCGACCAGACACGGTCGCGCCGGCGTCTTCTGCCTGGGAAGGGTTTCAACAGGTACGAGGGCAAATACAGTACTTCCGTTAATCAAGGGTGGCTTTTTGTTTTTGTTTTTTGTTTTTGTCTTTTCTATACCTCGGGGCCACAGGGTCGTTTACCACCGAAACTATGTAACTGTCCTTCGTCCTCAGGCACATGGTTACCACAGGTCACGGCACGGTGAACCAAACCCGCACAAGGACCTGGCCACTTTTCTGTGCCCTACACATAAGGGGCTCGATTCACAAAATTATAGATTTAAGAAGGCGAACGGAAACTTTTTATCGACCCGGGTGCACAAGGAAGGGGCGAGCGTGGGCTCTCGGGACCACCAAGGCTGGCTCCGACCCCG